GTTGTTGCCGATTGGGTCATGATTAATTAATTGAAACACGAGTAATATCTTATAAAATAAGAAATGAAAGAGTGACTTTTCTATGATAATTCTCGTTTCTCCTATGCTTTCGAAATATATTGACTCGTCGGGCAAAAAAAACCTAGGGTAGATACCCAGTCGAGAAAGAAAAAAGAAATACGATTATGGGTGTTTTTTCTCTTGTTATTGATGTTGGAAAAAAGGCGCAGAAGCGATTTCTTTATTTTTTCATCGATTGTATAATGTTGAACAGCTTCATACGATTATTCGATATTTCTTCTTTTTTTATTCTTGGTGAAATCTCGACGAAGAAAGGTGAAACAAAAAGAAAATAAATGCATCAAGGTTATAGTTCATTTGATCAGTCAGTTGTTTTGAAATTAATAATCGAAATATGACAAAAAAAGATGAAATATTCTCGCACTCTCAAGAATCGAAGTATAGAGATGAGAAGAACAAAGAACGAGGACTACTAGTACTAGATTGTAAACAGATTCATAGTCGCCTGTGTGGAAGGTATGGCGTTTTTTTTTACAGTAGAAACATTACCAGTTAGATGAGAGGAAGAATAAATACACAGAAGCAACGTTTTTATAACGATCGATGTTTTCTTTCCTTCTGTCAATAATTGCATTAGTGGTTTATATGTACATTATGCACTTTTCTTCAAACATTTTTTTCCCTTTTTTATTCTCAGTTGTTTTGATGAAGACAGTTGAAAATTGAAAGATTCGATTGCAGAATAGTTGTGCAACAAAAACAAAACGTCGATTAAACCCAAAGAAATCTCACCCTCACCCACCCCGTCGAAAAAATTTCGGTCTGTTAAATGATGAAGAAAGTTTTAACTTCCATTTCGAGATTTCATTGATCATGATGAATGATCGATTGGTGGATTGTGATGAGCAATAGCTTTTGAGTGGTATTTCACCATCAACTTGTAATCCAATCCAATGATTGTTCGAGAAGAATTCTAAAGTGAGAATTTTCCTCACCATTGAATCTACTTCTCATTGAGTCAAGATGAGTAGACTGGATTAATCATAATGAATATATTTCGAGAGAATTCTCTATCTATGTAATAGATATTTTGGTCATCGGATAAGTAAAGAGAAAGATAGAAAATGTGTGGCAATTACATGTAAGGGAAGTTAGCAGTCAATTTGAGTGTTTTCAAAAACGATTCGTCCAGTCGAGTGAGCTAGATGCAATTCGTCAAGGTCTATCGAATGACATGTTTCAATTGAATGAAAATTAAAAAGAATTAAGTAACTGAGATGTAAAGAAGGCTAGAAACCGACTTTCCGATCTCTACCTCCTCGATGCAATTTCGCTAACTTCATCAAACTGAATGTGCAGTTTTTACAAAATATCAATGTTTTGGCTGTCCTCGCTGAGTTCTGAAAAAACTGAGAGAAGTAGGACTATGACAGGTAGCAGTTCTTGGAACTTATGAACAGTTCAAAAGAACCGGTTGAAAAGTTTCAGAGAACTGGAATGAAACTGACGAATAAGTACAGACGCAACTTGAGACTCTATTTGGTAAACAGTTCAGCACCTAGGAACCGAACTGTTGACCAGTTCCAGTTCTTGTGAGCTGATATGGAACTGTCACTGTCCTATAGAGAAGCCAATTTTTCCCTTTATTTTTCTCCCTATAGCTTTGCTCTATGTTGTCATTTCATTTCTTTTCAGTTACATTTTATTACCGAAGAATAGTATAACAATCGATTGAAGATGGCCCAACCTTCAACTACAGCTGAATATGATGTTGGAGTAATTCATGATCAAGCCAAACAACAGAAAATTCTAGATGAAGTTAATAATGATATTCAAATACTGGAAAGGGAAAAAGATCGTTTGATGAATGAAATAAAAAAATATGAAGCTGAACAAAAAAATTTATTAGTCGAAGAAGCAAAACAAGAAACACGTATTAAAGAATTAGAAGAATTAATTCGACGTGAAAAAGAAGAATTAGACAAATTAGATCGAGAACTGAAGGATTTACAAAAAGAAAAAGATCAAATGGAAACTGACCTTGAACGACAACAAGAAATATTTGAACAATGTGAAGTTGAACTTGAAAAAATCTCTGATGAATTAGAACGATTACAAGATTTATTAGAAGAATATGTCGAACAAAGAACCGCACTTGAAGAACAAAGAGAATTATTACAACATGAAAGAGATGAAATTGAACGAAAAATCAATGAACTTCAATCACAAATCAGACAATTAGAACAAGAAGTGAAAGATCTCCTACAACGTATTCAAGCAATTGAGACCGAAATCAAACGTATGGAATTTGAATTAAACCATATTCTTGAAGATATTCGGCGAATTGAACAAGAAATTGAGAAATTAGAAGGAATAATTGAAAAAACACAACTGGAAGTGTTGAATCTTGAACGGGAATGTAATCGATTAGATGTTGAAATTAATCAAATTGAAGATTTAATGGAGCGAATTCAAAGAATTATTGAAATGAAAGAAAGTGACGAGAAAGGATTAAAAGAATTAAAACAATATCTTTACCGAGAATTAGTACAAGCTGAAAACAAACGAAATCAAATTAAAGCAGATAGAGAACGATTAGAACAAACGATTAAAAACATGCAAGACGCAATCATACCACTTCAAACGCAAGTTCAAAATATATCCAACAGATTAGTTAACAAAGAAGCTGTTATAGGAAAACTCCAACAAGATGTCCAACAAGCCAAGTATGTCTCATTTTAATCAGAATTGAATCCATTTCGAAGATATGGATAGGAAGAGTTTCATCATCTAGATATACTCATAGAGATTAAATATCCTTTTCAGTTTCAGGCTACGATAATTTTATCTTTTCGTTTACTAATCGAAATCAATCAGTAACCGTGGGATAGATAAAACTATTGTCACTATTTTATAGGAAAGAAATACAGCACTGAAGTGAAACTAATGGATCAATCTGAGATTGATTTGAATGTTTATTCATTCATTTTAGGAACAATATCACTTGGACAGAAGAAGAATTAAAAGAATTACAAGCAGAAGGTATAAAACTTGTTGAACAAATCAAAACTCAAGATGAAAAACTAAGGCGAGCAGAAACAGCAAAGAAAACTTTAGATGATCAACAGAAGAAATTAGAAGACGAATTAAAAAAAATTAATATTAATTTGAACAAAGCCAGGAAAGACAGAGATGCGTGTGCAAAACTATTAAAAGATTACAAAGAAACACTGAAAAACAATCAATCGGAACTTAAAACTGCTCAAGCTAAAGAAAAACAAGCGACTCAAGCATTAAGACAGCAACAAAAACAAGTCAATGCTGCACAAAAATTACTCCAAGATTGTATTATAAAAGAAGACAATGCTAACAAAGATCTTCAAGCCGCTGAAGCTCGCCTCAAAGAAGATAAATCACAAGTTAAAACTGAAGAAAATTTATTGCAAAGAGCTGAAATGGAATTAGCAACACATGAAACATATCTGGCCGCAAATCCTGAAGCATCAAGAACTCGATTAGATGCTATAAAGCAAACGGTCGCAACATGTAGAACAAACTTAGGCAAAGCCAACGCAAAATTAGGCTGTAGTATCAAATTCAAAGACAAAAAAAGTCAGGATCATAAAACAGCGATTGAAAACAAGACGAAAGCTGGAAAAACATTAGAAGACGAAAAGGGAAAACTTAAAACAAGACAAGATGAATCAAAAACTCAAAAAGATGCAGTGGAAAAAGCCACAAAGAAAGTGACTGATCAAAAAAAATTAGTGGCAGACACCGAAACCCGACAAAAACAATTATCCAGTCAAGTAAAGAAAATTGAAGATGAAAAATACGCAAAAAGCAAAGAAATTGAAAAGAAAAAAGGTGAAATAATTAATCAACAAAAAGTAATTAATGATAACAAGACCACATTGCTAGAATTAAAAACTAAACAGACAACAAATACCAATAAACAGACAACAACATCTAATAAATTGACAAAGGCTAGAGAAGAACATGGAAAAAGCGTAAATGAACATAAAAAACAATCTGATGACGTCGAAAAAGACAAAAATGACAGAGAAACTGCAAGACAACAAGTTCAACAAAAACAAAGTGAACTTAGAAAATGTCAAGCAACACTTCCGGAGAAAGAAAGAGAAGAAAATGCTATTAATGGTAAAATACAAAATAATCAAGAAAATTTAGCGATGATTAGCAAATCTATTAGTGTATTAAAAGCTGATCTTCGTGAGCAAACGAACACTAAGAATAAAATTACTAACCAAAAATCTAAATATGAACAGGATTTACAAAGTTCAAAAAATAAAATAGAAAAAGCTGAAAGTGAAATTGAACGGCATGGAAATGATCGACGAAGATTGGATCGCGATTTAAATGTCAAAGAACATGATTTAACGGATAAACAACGAGACTATCAAAAATTAAAATATAATTTAGATCAACGTCAATATGAAATTTCATCGAAAAAATCTGAAGTTATCGAATATGAACAGAAGGGATTGAATTTAGATGCTAATTTAAAGAGCAATAAAGATCAAATTAAAAAATTCGAGCGAGATATGAAAGAAGTTTCGAAGAATATTGATAAACAAGAAAAATTAAAACAAACTGCCGAACATAAATTCAAAGAGGCTGAAAGAGATGTAAGAAATACAACAAGAGAATTGGAAAAATTACAAAAGAATTTCAATGATGTTGAAAAACATTATAATGAAAGCAATGATCGTCATCATCAAGCAACCAGTGATTTAACAACCGCTCGAAATGAGAAAAGTTCGATTAGTAATAAATTAACGGATAATCAACGAAATATCGATACACGAGCATCCAAAGTCAATACTATTGCTCATCGTGTGGTATCAAAAAAAACTGATCTGTTGGAATACAAAGAAAAACAAGAACTGAATAATGAAAATCAAGTTGAAGAAAGAAGCCAAACAAACGAAAACAAAAGTTTCCTACCGAAATTCCAACCACAATATCAAGAAAATCCTTGCTAAAAAGTTTTTTTTTTATTTCTTTAACCAATACATAGATCTTTTCGTTCTGCTCTTGGGTGTATCTACTCGAGATTGTTCAATGAAGGAAAAAAAAAGAATTCTTTTTTGTTTTTCAGATTTCTTTTAATTATGACTACACCAATATGGAAATATTTATCAATGAAAAAAGATGCTAATGGTATAGTAAAAGTAGATCGACAATGTTTAAAAACAATTCAAGAGAGGTTTGTTCAAACCCATGGAGAAAATGCTCGTGATGATGATGATTTGAAAAATGAATACAGCAAGACGTTAATTAATGAATTGGGATTGATTAATGATCAAACTAGTTTAGATTATTTGAATATTTGTTTATCGGAAGCAACAGATGAATTTGCTGAGATGGAAATTAAGGATAAAGTTGAAAAAAATAATGAAATATCGAAATTACTACCAACAGATGAAGTACAATCTGATCCGATCACTCCTCCCAAACCTGCCGACCATTCTAAATCAGTTCCAACACAAAAAATCAATTCATTAAATAAAATCATCTGTATTATTCATCAAAAATCCACTAAAATCGAAGTCACCAATTTCCTAGGTGAATTTCTATTTCGACAAATTAATCAAAAATCAAGGTAATTGAACTAATTCATTTAATCGATTATTAAATAAAAGAATTGAATAGTGCATCATCAGATTCAGAAATCATTCATCCCGTTTGTGATGGTACAAGTCATCCATTATCTCAAGGTACAATACTTGATTTATTTATTCGACAGCAAATGATCGATCGTGGAACAGTAACATTTATAGATCCACAAACAGAATATCGTCTTGTCGAACCTATTAGTCTCACAGATGAATTTGAATCCTGGACATTTGATCATTTTCATGGTTTATTTGATTTTTGGTTAGCAGTAGATCCGCATACTAAAACAACTTTTCCAAGTCCATGGACATTGCATTCGGATGCACAGATTGATTATATCATAGCTACTCGATTGATCCGTGCTGATGGTGATCAGTCAAGAAAATATTCAGAACGGCCCAGTACAAAATCTTTGGAAAATTTTCTTCGTGATATTTGTAACAAAGAAAGAAATGGAATGTTTCAAATATGGTATAAAGCATTGAGTGTCGAAGAAAATATTGCGTCTTATGCTCATTTAACAAACTTAAATCAAAAAGAATGGGATCGAATCGGTCGATTACCTATGAATGCTTTGAAAACAATTAAATTCTACGTTGATCAAGAAAAACAAATGGTTGAAGAACGGAAAACAAAGAAAAATCCAAATAAATCAGAGATTCCTTCTCTAGAAGATAAATCTTATTCGAAAGCAGAAATACGTGCAAATTTACATATGATTAAATTATATTTTAATCGACAATTAGAAGATCAAGATGGTATTGAAACAATTCCAAGATTAGAAGCTGATTGTGTTCAAACAGCATTTGAAGAAATGCGTCAAGAAGGTTATGAAGATGATGGATTATTTGATGAAATGAAATTATTTTTTCAACCATTAACTGTTACTGAAGAAGAATTAGTCATCAATAAGAATGTTTTATCAAAATTATATCAACAAGAAATTGTGGAAAAGGAGAGATTAAGAAAAGAGATTGAGAAATTAAACAAAAGTTTTGAAGAAAAAGATAATCAAATAAAAAAAGTATCCAATGAAATTGAACAAATAAACGTGAAACGTAGTGAAGAATTTAAAGCATATCAATTGGCATCAGAAAAAGCAAATCAATCGATTAACCTACAAATGGACTTGAATAAAAGTTGGTCGGCAAGCGATAATCGTCAAAACGAAGAAATCAATTTAAAGAAAAAAGTTCGCATGGAATATGAAAAAGAATTACAAGAAATTGACAAAAATCGAAGTAATGATAAAAATTTATTAGAAATTATTGAAAAAAATCTCGCTTCGGATAAAACAACTATTGATCGAAGATTGGTCAAACCACATCGAGGTTTCATTATGTATGGACCACCAGGTAATATCACAATAATAGAACTTGTTTTTCTAATCAATTGATTGATTATGAATAGGTACTGGTAAATCAGTAATTATGAGTAAATTAGCAAAGAAAATTGGGATTGCTATGCTTGGACCTCCATTAGCAGCTGGTGAACTTGAACGTCCATTAGTTGGTCAATCCGAAGCAATTATTTTAGATCTTTGTATGCGTGGGAATCGTTTACCACATTTGATGTGTTGTGTATCAATTGATGAAATTGATTCATTGGCACCAAAACGAGATGAAGATTCATCAGAAGGCAAAGTTGCAAAAATTAGTGTTCTTCTTTCTGTCGTTGAAGGTATTAAAGATGTCCCTAATTTAATGTTTTTCTCGGCTACTAATCGATTACATATGATGGATGAAGCTTTTTTAAGAAGAATGTCAGGCAAATTTTTTGTTGGTCGACCTTCTGCTGGAGCACGAAAACGAATTTTAGATGGAATACCAAAAACAATTGTACAACCATATATTAGAGAAAAATTAGCTACAGCTACAACAAATTTTAGTGGTGCTGCATTGAAGTAAGTGAAGATTAGAATAAAACTAGTTTCTTTCATATCGATGATTTAGAGCCTTAACAAGTGCAATTACTGTTCATTATATAGCTCAAAAACGCTTAAAAAAAGCAGATTATGAAATGGAAGAAGAAGAAACTTTAATCTTAGCTGACCGAACAGCTCGTCAATATCAATTATATCTTGGTCTTGATACATTACCTCGATTACTTTTACATAATCTTGATGATCAACGACAATTAGCGAAAATCAATAATGAAAATCAAGCGAATCCTTCTGGAGGATTTCATTTACTAGACAAATATCGATTTACAGGAAAAATAATTATTAGTTTTCAAGATTCATGTGTTCGAATGGAAACAATTGAACCAAATAATAAAAGACATGTTATTGAAGAAGATTTGATTAAAACGGAACAAAGTCTTCAACAATTGCTTGAACGTATTACATCTTATGGAAATGATCGTAATGTTCAATTATTACAATTAATTGATTTAAATTTACTTTCATCAAAAGGAGCTTATGAAGAAAAAAAAATCTTTGAAACATTAAAAGAACGTTATGATGAATGTATGGAATATAAACGTTCAATGATTATTTATGATCTTGATTCATTAATTGGGGTCAATAAATCGGAATCGGAATCATCGATGGGAACATCAGTCAGTTCATCGGTAGTTAATCAAAGTATTTATATTTATGTCACCAGCCGATTTCGTGAAGCGAAAATTGAAGCAAGTCGAGCCGATCAAAAATTGACCATTGAACGATGGGCTATAGCCGTGGTACGTGATCCATTTTTATTGAAGAAATTTATAGCTGATGTGGATTTTATGTTAACTGATCAACAAATAAATGAACAAGAAGAAGAAGAACGACTAGCGACGGAGGTTATTATTTGTGTGAAATGTCGAGATCATTATATCGAAAATGAGAATAAAATGGGTGCATGTAGTTATCATGATGGATTTGTTTATGATAATTCAGCATTAGATTTAAATAAACATACAACAAGTGAAGCGATTGAAATCTTGAATCGAGAAGAATATATTGTTTTTAATGAGCCGAAACGAAAAGAAGAAATAGAACGAGGAAAAGGACGATTGAAATATATTTGTTGTCACGGAACGGTGCAAGTTGGTGGAGGATTTAGCGGTTGCAAAAAAGGTAAACATGGTTATGCAAAAATTAAGAAGACAAATCAACAAGCAGATGGAATTGAACAAGATGCGATCAGTATATGGGAAATGGTATGCTTTAATAATATTCAATATAATCGACGATTGGAAGCTTTATTATTAACGCGAAAACCACAAACCACAGAAGTTAATGCTTCGGCATAGAAAAATAAATTAAATAAATTTTTAATTCTGATAATCATTGATCTCTTGGAAGTTGAGAAAGTATCGGACAGATCACTTTTTTCTATGGATTTTTATTGAAGAAAGTCATTCTATTGATTGATTGTTCTGTGAATCTGAATAACAAATCGAAAAGGAGATGGGTCGTTTTCTGGACTTGAGGGTGGCTGCGTGGGTGTCGGTGA